TTAAACAATCCCACAAATACCATCCATAACTAACAACCCACTCTTCTCTGGTTGTTCTTTTGCTAGCACCAGATCCTAATCAGCGGTAATTAACAAATTCGTGACCCTCTGAAACGTTCTCGAAACCGGCCAGTCATCGTCCATCATTAACTCCGAACAATTAATTATTGTTCTACGCTCTAAGCCGAGTCAATGACAAAAGATTTATTGTATTGAAAAAATAATTTACATTGAATTATTCAATCGTCGAACGGCACGCCGCGGGTCGCTCATTCTCGCTCTTTTTATCTAGAGCCTCAACACATATAATTCCGCAGTTATTCTTGATTGATTCTGTTAGTATGACACAAGTATCCCACAAGAAAGTAAATTGCATATAGTCAAAATCACGAAAGATGACTATTACGTCATGCCATAAATTGTACTGAAGTAATCAATGGACGTCTATGATAAAATCACGATGTCAGAAACACAATGACAACAAATTTATATTATGATTTTGCGAAGTTAGGTTATTTCACTGAATATTTTTATTTTCATTTTGTTTCATGGTTTTGAGTGATACCTCAATAATAATGTTAGTGGGGAGTTTTTGTTTTGAAAAAACAGTTATGTATAGAATACCTTAAGACAGGAACACCAAAGAGCAAAGTATTATTCGAAAACAACCTAACCTGCTTTAACATAACTTACCTATTCATTTTTCAAATATGATCGAGCATGCAACATGAAAACATCGTCTATCTTTGTTGGATACATGCAACTTAGCAATACAGTTTGTTTATGCAATAAAATTCTGTTTGTCTCTAACATATCTGAAACTAAAAAATATTCACAAACCGCTGTCGTTAGTCTTTACTACAGACTAAAATAATGACGAATCGTCGTCTTTCGTGATTTCAACTCTATCACTTCTTAGCGGCTTCATACATATTCGCTGGGTGCGAGATGATATACTTGCAACATACGAGTACCATACGTGTGGTTCGCATCATGTCAAAAAAATTTTAACATTGGTAATTGACATTTCCACACTCGAGCTACTCCTGCTAGTTTGGTTACTTTTAATGGTAAAACTGGTGCCCGTGGTGCTGACAAAATGATTTTTGAGGAAAGTTATCTTATCTAAGTTATTACTCAATCGGGATGCTATTATGGTAGATAAACGTCTTCTTAATGATATTTGTGCTGTACATTACAGTGTGAATTTGTATTGTCTCCTATATATGCAACATATTCTTCTAGACTGTCACTTATTTGAGCCATTTTTCACCTAAAAATCCTTTAAAATTCACACAAGACTAAACTATGTGGATGATAAACGATATTTTACAAAGTTTGCATCTACCAAAATCGACAACAAAGTTGTTGATCAAAACGAACACAAAGCCTTTACGACACAATAAATAAGATTAATGACTTTATACAAATAAAAGTACGAAGAGTATAATTCCGCATAAAATACTTCCAAACACCTTTTCAAAGCAAAGCTAAAAGGTAACGTTAATGTGTCAAAGTACAAGAATCTAGTTTAGGTGTCTGCCGCGGCGGCGCTGCTATTTTAATTTGCAATCCCAATACTTCAGGCTTGTCAATACTTTTGAGTTGCTTCTCGAATTCTGAATTAACGAAGTATTAGTCATGATGCTACATATGTTCGAGCTCTTATAGATTTGAGCACCTTTGATGGACTGCACGACGGGGGTCAAAGGGGTATTGGGGAAATGTAGAGGGACTTGGGGGGAGGAGGTGGTATTCGCGAGTCCCATTGTTTCTGGGCTCGTAAAACTCGCATTCGGTATTTGAGTTGACACTGCGGGATCTTATTTATAGGCGATGCTGAAACCATTAGTTGTGTTCGATGATCAGAAGATGTGCATTTTCAATGGAAAAAAAAAGAAAATCTGCATTTGCAGACCGTATCTGCCTTTTGATTGTGCAGACTGTCGTATACCAGACCATTAGGTAAGCACCATTGCACCGACAGAAAATCATAAATGTCCATTGACTGATCGAAGTTGAGCAAGTTTTGATATTACACTTGTGTACATTGAGATCTTCCATTTGCGTATGATTATTGATATACATACCTCAAAACGTGAACCCCAACAAATGCTCAATGTTATATAAGCGCAGTAAAAAACATTGTTGACCAAAAACTTAAAAGTCGGTGATGAAAAAATTTTGGAAGTTCTTCTTATTTTGTCTTCTCCGAGAATATTCATGACTACAATCCAACATAATCGAACGGTTGCAAAACATATAAAAATATAGCTTAAGATTGATTTGACTGAAACTTTATTTATTTTTTAATCGATACTCCAAATTTTATAAAAAATTGAAAGCCAGTTCTAATATAATGCTGCTGCTGGAAAATGTCTTGAGATAAAGAAGCTAAACAGACAGGCCGACAGACATAACGACAAAAATTATTGACATATATTACGTGACAGTCATTATGGGACATCAAAGGAATTCCATTTTAGTGCATTATACAATTTATTCGCCTAGAATTGATCTTTTAATGTATATAATTGATATTTTATCGTTGTGATGAGAATGTATTTGATTAATAAAATTTTAATGTGTGCTGTTCTCTCCTCTCGTCATAGCTAACTTTGTCATGTCTTTGAGTCACATGACAACAGTTGAGCTGCTGGAAGCTAACTATAGCCTGCTTTCCATGTGAGCCTAGAACATACTTGATGTACCATCTTTTCTGGGCAAGCAGAAAACGGACGATTATAAGATTACCTGTAGATCCAAAGAATATGTGTATCTTCTTAAAAGCAGACCCTGCTGTATAGGGTTTTTGATATTGTTTGGACCTGCCTCTCAAGTTTACATCTAGAATATTAACTTTGGTACAAACTGTGACCCAGTTTGGTTAAGTTGATGATTCTAGGAAGAATGTAATCGATGAATGAGTTTTCAGCCATGTCATCTTCTGGTATGTTCTTGGAAATACATTGGCTCCTTATTAAATAGGTATCTTTTTAAATGTAATGACAATCGCATCATTCAGACTTTATTGCATTGGCGAATACACGAAACCACCATCAACTTGCATAATGATGATATTTCATGACATCTTGCCTACCAAAGCATCCTAAAAATTCTGTACCTTAAAAAACTGAGACAATTGAAACGGTATGGTTTTTTTCTGTAACGTACGCAATTTTATGATGTATTATTTGCATCCATCCGTAGTCGGTAATGACGCTATCAAAGCCATTACTTTACTTCACATATTTTAGTTCGACAGGGATTGGTTTCAAAGCTGGAAACAATGCCCTCTTAAGAGGGCCTCCCGGATAAGGGACGGCACCGGAGCGGAGGCTTGGAATTTTCGTGTTTGTTTCGGTCAGTCACGTCCCGGTGTTCTCCGACTGCACCCGAAACGAGCCATTAGGTCGCTAATTGCGATTGTGTCACGGCCTCCTACGTCGGAAATAAGAGATAATCGAACTTTCTGAACGATTGCTCATGTCGTGCAGTCAGTGTGCACTTTTGTGTGTACACTTAAGCATGGCCTGCAGTCTAGGTAGCGCCATCTTCTTCTAGCTTTCCGGCTTACCCCCCATTGTTGCTATCTGTTTGTAAGAAGGCAACAGAGAAGACAATATCGGGAGAAATAAGACGAGCTGCATAAACTATTTTACTTCCCCGCCTACGAGCAAGAAAGTATTATAATCGCGAAAAGTTTCGACTATGAGATTTTATGTTTTTTGGATGTTATATGACATGTACATCACAAAAAATTATTTCACCTATTTCCTCTGTCTGTCTGTACGCTAGTCATTGGTCCTTCTATAACTTGGAAAGTATTGGATTTGGACGAATTTTCACAAATGGTTACTGATATTTAAAGGGCGAAGATTTGTAGCTTTTAGAAAACCCTCCCAATTGCGGCGGAGAAGAATGCTAAAAACGAAAACAGTTAAAAACGCCCAAACTCTGTTTTTCGACGTCTTGGGGGTTGAGGGGTTGTAGGGGTTTCGGGGAGGGAGTATCGCAATTTTTTTATATTAGTATATTGGTACAATCCTCTGTGATTGTTTGACCAGTAAAACCACATGTATTGACAGAACCTTCTTTGTAAGCGTTTCAATCACAACGGTGACCTTCTTCAGTACAATGACGTATTTTATTTATCTGTCTTCCAGCTGACAGTTCATTTGTTTTTCTTTCCATTATCACATCCCTATACTCTGTATTACTGAAATAGTCTGAAACTACCGTAACATGGTGAGATTGTGCGAAGCCATCAGCCCGGCACCACGAAAAGCCAGCATATCCGAGGACCGCCTGGGGTAGGCACTCCAAACAAGGACGTCCAGCCCTCCAAAAAGACAAGCCAGTATGGGTCTATCTGTAGTTTTTTAATGGCGTCCCGAAAACGCCAAAAGCCCTTCAAAAAACTGCAGTTGTGGTAACACCTCGATTAATTGTTATGCAATTTTCCACTAAAATGTTGCAAGTGCATCGTTTCGGATCTGAAACGCGAATAATACGACGACATCCAAAGAATACCATAGAAAATAATGCAACACACAAAAGCTTGGTCTTGAAATGGCAAAGCAGAGCATTTGCGGATTTGAGATCTTACATTAAACCATGAGAAAAAATCTGGAGAAAGCTTACCGTCGATTAATTATGTTGGATAATATCAACTAGATCTTTCTTTAAAGGATTTTTAACCAAATTGGGTAACACTCCACAGAAAAACTAACTTAACTTTATTTAAGCCGATTCGTTTACCTTTTTTGCCATACTACAGAAAGATAATAAAAATTAGGTGGGGAGATCAAAATGGGACCCCAGTAGATGATTTTACACGATATAGGATCCATTTTGTATATCAAAGTATAGTTCAGAAAAATCCCTTACGTGGTTACCCAGACCAGTGTGGATGCAAGAGGAACACTTTTTCAGCCTTTTCTGGTCAATCTCATTATCGAACACTTAACCTGTACTTGTATGAAAATGAATAAATAATACACGCTTGTATATGTATAATTTAATGTATATACAAAAATTCGTTAAATATCACACTTATTAAGGCTACATATATCGCTGGTTATTCAGCCCTCCTCAGCTGCATCTACCTCAGCCGGTGCTTCTTCCGTAGGCGCCGCTGCTGCGACTCCCTGATTCTCCATCTTTACCCTGTGGGCTACTGCAGCTACCAACGCAGCTCCCCTACCGCTACCGTCCTCAGACAACATCAGTTCGAAGCTTATGCCTGGGTTCACCAGCTGTGCGATCTTCTGTTTCATCCAGTTTGAAATGTTAGGGTGGTTTCTGTACAAGGTACCGTCTATGCCGACGACCACCTAAAATACACATTTAAATTAAGAAGACAGAGAAACAAAAATGACGTCGGTGAGGATATTCTTACTGCCCATATATTGAGGAAAAAATCCTGGACTAATAAGAACTTGCCGAGAAACTATAGGAAGGATTTTTTTCTCGGTGACGAAGAGAATTCCGTATCATAAGGAAAGACGCGATGCCAGCATCCAAAGGCATGGCAAATTATAGCGGCTTAGTTATGTCGGGAGTACCGAGAAACGTGCTTGTAAAACAACTTTTTTCGAAATACGTTGACAAAACAAATTTATTGTTTTAATTACAATGGCAAAAGTTGAGCTCAACTCAACAGATGCGTCACATATTTATATCCTCGGATGAAAATGCTGACTGGATATTCTTGCTTCACGTAGATGGACTTTCAGTGGCGCAATTCGCACATGTGACTTTTCTCAGTACATTCTTATCTAATATGTCACTAATATTCCAAGAATCCGAAGAAATAAACGGTATCAGACAATCGGATAAGAACTTTTGTATCTCCATTAATGAGGACCGCAAATTATACTAGTTTCAAGTCTTATCAGAAGTGTATGTGTCCAAAACCTAGTTCAGTCACGAATATTTTTCGGCTAAGTCCTCTTTTACCATCAATTTAAAGAGCCAAGATACAACTACTTTCAAAATAAAATAGTTTGTCAAAGTTATGTGTTATACTGTTGTTATCGTTACTACCAGCATCCTTTTGTTGTGAAATGGAATTTAGCAATGATGAGTACGCCGATATTATTTTTGTGTATGGGTGCTGTAATGGACATGCTTTCCGGCTTCTCGGGAGTATCAACGTAGACGCCAACCTACCCCATAGGCATTTACGCGCTCATTTCTAGGACTTCGGCAATATTGAATTGACAAACTTTCGGAGCTAGATGCCATGGTATCCGGCACATTATTCAAGAGCAACTGGAAGTGATTAATTTGGCGTTCGATGATCCTAGTACAAGTACTAGGCGGATTGTAGCCCAGTTACCATGTTCCCAAAGTCTTGCGTGGAGAATTTTAAATCGGGGAGTTCTACATATATCATTACCATCGGCAAAATGTGCAATGTCTGCAACCTGGTGACGAACTGCAACAGCAAAATTTTCAGTGGAACCGTTAATTCTCATAATGAACATAGTTTTTGGTAGTTAGAAGATTCCCGTTCTGTAAGAGTCCACTCGTTTCAACACACATTTTCTAGAAATGTCTGGTGCGGCATTTTCAATGGTCAACTATTTATGCACGTATTGTAATAACGTTTTAATGCAAACTCATACTTAGCTTTTCTAGAAAATCACATAGAAAATGTGTCAGATGATGTTCCGTTAGCAATGAGAGTACGAATGTGGTATCAGCACCCCGGTGCGCTATCGAATGTTCGTCGAGACATAACCGTATGGTTAAATAAGCAACTTAGACAACGATGGATTGGCAGAAGCGGACCAGTACATTGGCCCGAATGGTCTCCTGATTTGAACCCCCTGGATTTCTTTTTGTGGGACGCTTTTAAACAACCAGTGTATGCTGAACAAACTAATACTGTTGATCAGGTACAAAAAAGAATAGATAATCCGTTTCAACAAAATTTTGCGGAAATACGTTTTCATTTATTTCCTTTTTGAAGATTTATTGAAATAAAATAAAACTTTTGTCATCTAATTTGTTTTTTCCTCTTACGAAAACAATGTACTCTAGAAAAAAATACAAGAATAATGATTTGTAGCAAATTGAAGGTAAAATTCGAACTGTTTTTATTTGGAAAAATAATGCCACTAATGCCTGTATCTCCGTCACTGGTGCATGTTAATCTGAAGTAAGGACTTTTGAATATGGATTAGGTAAATTCACATGCCAAATTTTAGTTCATTCCGGTTGACGGTTTTGAAGATATTAAAAAAAATGGAGAAAGGAATGTTACACAGAAATCCGTATGATGTTCCATTTTTTGAAACGACTTGTATGACGACAGTATGGTCAAAAAATGCACTCCAACGATTTTTCAACTTATACTAGTAGTAAGCTTACCTTCTTTTCTCCCATCTTGTTCATGAGAACAGCCAACATGGCGGAGCACAAATCTGCAGCCCTCTTGGAAACGCACTCACAGATGTACTTCAGGTTCTGGTAATCTTGTTCTATGGCATGGCTGAGACCTAACTCGTCGCAGATTCTTTTAGCATTCGTGTAGACACCAGGCGGGTCACTCTCTATCTCCGACACATATCTGGTCTCGAATTTGTCTTCTGTTTCCAACAAGGGGGAAAATTTTCCCCCAAACATCACACCTTCCTTCGTGAACCTACAGACGAATATTGTTTGTAAACAGAACTTTGCGAGTTGGATAGCCCGAATTTAACCAACTGTCTGTCATAATTATGTATCCCTAAGGTCTGTAGTCTTCTGCGGTCGGCCTTGATCCGCCTAAAAATTGGGAAGGATTTCGATAAAATTTTCACACAAAGTTATTACTATGCAAAGGACGAAAAAAATTTGTATATTTTGGTGGCGGAGAAGCTAGGGGCAAAAACACAAGGGTATAAAAACCGCTCAAGCTTTGTCTTTTTGACGTTCCAGAACCTTCTGATTATTTTCGGAAGAATTTTTGTAGAGGTTGAAGGGGGTGGGGGTGGCACGCTTTCGACCTCCGTAATTTTACGCACACTCATAGGTGCGCTTCTTACAGATCAAAAGTTCACCCGACGTCTAACTGCATCAACGGCAGAAAAATCGCTGGGGCCTCGATTTCGATATATAATAGTTTCGTGCCAGATTAGAGACTAATTGTATATGGACCTGTTTGACTGACTTGACCCATTTTTTTTTGTTATACTTGTGCTGAACATAAACCTTTATGTATTTATGTACTGATGGCGGCGTTGCGTAGAAAGGACAGAGTTAACCTACTTTACACCATTTTTTCATTTCCAGGTCAAGCACAGCCAAATCTCGTCATTACTTCTGCCCAACCTAGTACGGTACTAAAATAAATGGAAAGAATAAAATAGTAACAGGTGATACACAAGTAGTCATTTTTTGGCAGCAAAGTAAAACCTAAGGATGACAAATCTTTAGAGCTCCGAACTCCACGTTTTTTGCAATAAAACTATTCGACATGTTTCTGCACAATCTGCTAGAATGCTATACCTACCTTAGAGCAGCCAACCTAACAATGTCACCAAGGTACATTCCTGATATCATCTTTTCGTGCTTCTGCCTCCCTGGATTGATAGACCGCTTATCGATTATTTCGTCGTACTCTACTCTGCAGAAGTCTAGGGCTCCGTCATCCCCAAATGCACCACTTTCCAAGTTGATGATTACTTTTCCGGATCCTTGGTCAGGCTCATCGAATAATTCTGCGTTTGCCTGTGACTCTGAGAATCAAGTGAGAAAATTCAAATTTGAAGAATGTACAATAAGGAATTGTAAACAGTCAAAATGTTTACTATACCACGGACAGTATAGGACCAACAACACTAACCAAATTGTGTGCCTCGATTATAAATGTTTGATCTTCAACTACCCTTCTCTTATCTGATCTATATTGATCATGTATCCAGGATGTCACTTATGACTGATGTACTAGGGACACTAGAAAAGAAGTCTACCTATCAATGAAAAAAAAAACAATTGAATCGCACAAGCATAATATGTCAAACAGTGACGTGTTCTAACCTTATCTGCAAAATTTGAGTTAATTTTGATAATTAGTTTCCAATTTATGAAGTGACATGTGAGAAAACATAGGTAGCTCAAAATTAGAATAGTGTCATAGAATTTCTGACAAAAGAGGGGCATCAAGCGAAAACAATTCTTGAGAGAATAGTTGCCGGCTATCGGAATGATACACCATCATATTAAATAATAAAACTGTTCGAAATACTTTCGATGGGGACGTGAATCCAGAGAAGATCTCAAATCAGCAGCAAAGGGTGAAATGACTCAAAAAGTTGGTTCCATGTTTCTCGAAGATGATCATTTGAAAACTTCTAGCTATAGCATTGAATATATCATAACCTAGCGTAATGACCATCTTGCCTGATAATTTGAACAAAAATAGCGCAATTTAGAAATTTTCATTTAAAAACTTTGACCAACGATTCAGCGCAATTTGTGACGGGCGCCGAGACTTGGATGCAGACAAAAACAAAACCCAAGCAGTGGGCTTTACAAAGAGTCTTTACAGCGCTTGTCAGCACGCTGAAACATTACCGTAAAGCAACCAACCAAAAAAGACCTAATTTTTTTAATCGAGAAGTGCTTCTACAGGAATGTAGCTTCGTCGGGATATACCATCCTCTCTCCTCTCTATAGCCCCGTCTGACTTTTATCTGTTTAGATAAATAATGAAAAATCTTCAAGGACGCCGCCGCCGTTTTGACTCAGACGATGGCCAAAAAGTAGCTGCCTACGACTTTTTTTTGTGAATCGGGAGGAGAAACAGGGTATAAGCCCATTGGAACAGGAAATGGCCCAAGTGCATTGATGTAGGGAGGATTTTATTGAAAAATAAAACCGTATGTGTTTTGTTTCATGGCTAGGTAGATTTCTTTTCTAGAACTCCTCGTATAAAGTGACGTTTAAATCTACGGCAACTGAGAGAATGATCAGTGAACATTGATGTTATGTACTACAATAAATATTGGTCGTATACTTAGTCTTAGTCATCAACTTATATTTTATTCTGATATCGATGTGCTACAAACGATTAAAGACGAAGTCTGAGAAAAGTTGTCTGGCAGGGGTTGAGCCTGAACAAAGTCGATCCCAATTTCTTACATTTGATGTCAAAAATAGGTAGCTTATTTACCAAGACAGTGACTTGAGGTTGAAATGAGTGCTTACCTAAATAACACCCGTTAGTACCAGTGCCGAGAATCAGGCCGATCTTACAGTCCCTGTTTTTCCAGGCACACGACATCAAGGTACCAGTTGTGTCATTGAGTACTGCACAAACATCAATCTTGACATCCCCGCGCCTTGCTAGAGCATCTTCAAGGAGTTTGACGACATCTTTGCCAATGACACCGGCACAGTTGAAGCCTTTGGTCCATCTAACGAGGGAATGTAGTAGAAAGTTGATACTTCGTCTGTTACTCCCACAAATCGTCTATCGGCTGTTTGCTTCTTTGCGTACATAAACTGGTGTATTTTGCTTTTAGTAACCTGACCTAAAGCGCCTATGGAAATGGTATCTAAACCTTATTTGCACCGAATCACAACAGACAGCTGCTTTACCCCCAAAGGGCCAAGAAATAGGGAGATTTCTTATAAATCCAACAATTTTTGCGTCAGTAAATGTTCAGTCCATACTGAAGGCTTCTGCTGAATCCCGGTGTGTACCCCGCAATAATTGTTATGGTCAGAGCACCCTCTGGTGGCGCGATAGTATTATCCCTCCAACCTAGAAAGTAAGAGGTTCGCCGAACCCGCAACCCGCAACATTTGTAAAACTGCCACCGGCAATATTGTGCCAACTGTGGATACCCGCTTGAAGTGCCGATTTGTCTGAATTATAGCCTACAAGTGAGAGAAGAGGTGGCTAGAGCAAGGAGCATACAGAAGCCAAGAAGACCTCCATTTTTAAGAGTCATCAGAGGGTTCAGTCAATCCAACCTTTTCGCTCGCCATTGTCGCAACTGCCCCCTAATTTTTTTGGTTGTACCGTTTGATAATTACTTCTTAATTTCATTCCATTCCGATGGTGGTAATTGCCTATAAGAGGATGTTCAGAACCTAACCCAGAACGCTGTAGAAATTTCGTATGACATCAAAGAAGTCCTTAGAGTGTCATTTATGAAGTGCTAACGTACCATACTCGGCCGCCATGTTGTTTCCAGTTGTTAGGGGTAGAAGACAAGACAAACTATCCATGTAACACGATGGAAAATAAACTAGTCGATAAAAAGGATCAACCAAAAAATCAAAAATATCATGACAGATCATTCACTCTTGACTCTGCTTGGCTCAGTTTGACCGGTTTGACAGCTATCTTGCCGTTTCCATTGGTTGGAAACAACATGACGGACGAGTATTATACCCGTCTACTATAGAGCTCCAATTTAAACAGCGCACCATGTTTGAATGTACTAACCTTTCCAATATACCCTTCGTCAATCCAACCTGCTGCAAAGGAAAACTGAACGTGAATCCCAGGGGCAGCAATTGATCGTTAACTCCTTTCGTGACGGCGAAATCTGACAAACATTCAGCAATGAAATCGAACAGATCTTCACCAGGTCCTGTCATAATTGAAGGAGGGATAACGTAGATCTTCGAGTCCATATGGCTCTCACCGCCGGCAAGCTCCACAAGCAGTACTCTAGAAATCAAGAGGATTTCAAATTCAAATTAACACATCTGAATGTATCTTTTATGTGATAAGTGGTTCAACATCAATAAAACTGGTTGATAAATGGAATAGAACCCAGAAGGAAAATTATTTTATCTGGATAAAATTTTGGTTAGTTAGACTTAAGCAGGAAGAAGTAGTGATCAGCTCTTGAATTGGAAACATTTACGGTATGGCTAGGATTCGTTAGCAATGGTGTTTGGCCACCCGGCAGGGGTATTATGTTGTTTTTTTTTTATATTACATAGGTTTTTTGCAACATTATGTAGGTTTTTCTACAACTTGTCAGCTTAGCACTCGCTGTTGCACACTTGTTGTGCAGCTGTACGTGTTACCTAAACGTCATGATGCTTTAGCTATCAATGCTCTCTGATGTAATGTAACAGAGATGGTATTATAGGAGGTCTAAGCTGTTAGTTCTATACTATAGCTGAAAGGAAACGGCCGTTGCATAGGTGCATAGTGATGATTTGTGTGCTAATGATCTGTATTGATGATAATTCCATTGGTTTCTTGTCTCAAATACACTTACTTGAGATGTTTGCAAAGCTAATAATTAATTGCGCATCCAATTTTTCTCATTCAACCTGGAAATTACATTTATGCACATTTGCTGAATTTCAAAAGAAAACAGTGATAAAGGAAGAAACTCCCTGGTTGATGACGTACCATATATTACAGCTAACCGGTGAGAAAATATAGTACATAGTACATAGGAATATTTATGAAACTTGAAAAAGGTATTACATTTCACATTAACTACTTCCAGTCATTTAAATTTTATAGAAATGTGTTTTATAATGTCAAGTAGAAAATACAAACTAGCGCCTAGACACTTAACTCGGGTGCGGTATAGATTTTCCGTAATGTTTCAGATTTATTTAGCATTAATGCTACAATATATTTTGCGATATTACACAGTATATCACAAAATATATAATGTCTTCAAGACTACATTTTTTTATAAAAAATTTCACTACTATGAATTCTGGTTTCCATGAGATATTTTCAAACTGACACACATCTTGATATCATATACTTAATTTATTAAATTCGTAGAATCCCTTTTGAAATACTGACTTGCTCGTTATATTGCTACTGCAATTTTGTAAATGAAAGTCTATACTTCCTCTAGTAGAATAATTGTGGCACTCATTGTTCAATACAATAAAGGTGATTTGGTAGAAGATGATTTTTAACTTGAATATGAAAATGAAAACCAAGTAGGCTATGAAATGTTTGATATTTAACCATTGTAGTTCTTTCAGCATAAAATTTATTCTAGTATATTTATTTTTATTTAAGATGATTCTCATAGCTTTATTTTGTAATATTTGTAATTCTGAAAATTTGCAGTAAACAGAATAGTCGAACAATATAACAAATGAGGAAGAATGATAGTGTTGTACACAATTTTTTTAGAATAAACGCTTAGGCTATGCGAAATTCGATAAAAGTAATTTATTTTCTTGGATATTTTTAAAATAATATAGTCATGGTGCCCTTTAAATTTTAATTTACTGTCTACGTATATGCCAAAATATTTAAATGATTCGATTAAAACAATTTTTTTAACAGCTCTATTGCAGTTTCAATGTCAAAAAAACTGGGTGAAATCGTAGTGTATCTTCAGAAAGGACAACACAAATAACCCGTCAGGCACAGCTAACAGATATATTTCGTGGGCAGCATATTAAATAATAATTTTCTCATATAGCAAATATCACTGAATTTATACACATGCAGACCAATACATATAATCATCCAGATGTGATCTTGCTACTCTGCTACTCAACCATACATCTTCTCAAAGTATAGATACTCTATAGACTCTTTCGGCATTGTGCAACCAACAAAGCATGATGGTTAACTGACTTGCAGCTTGACGTTTCATAGGTTTCCTTACGTAATAACCCTGTCGATGCCGAATGCATTCGTCCAGTCTTCAGGATGTGCTGATGTGTTAAGGCAGATTACGTCTTCTTGAACACGTCTTATGTCAAGCTAGCTGGATTTGGTTCCAAAGAGCTGCTAAAGTTGGTGGACGATGAGGTAACGGTCGCTCGCTCTTTTTACCATCACATACCACGAATTGGCGTATGGTCTACAGATCAGGCCAAGGAAGGAGGTTGAGTTGATCCTTATTGAGGTAGTCTACTATGGTTCTAGCAATATGGAGGTGGTAATCATCTTGTTGGAAAAAAGGGTTCTCAAGTATTTAGAAAAATAGCTAAAGGTGTGTTCCCTGCGTATACCGCTGCGCCGTCATAACTCATCTAATAGAAACCAAAGGTGACAGCACCATACGTAGTGATACCTAAAACCATGACTCCTACAGTATGGTGACGTTTAGCTGAAAGCCTTACATCATGCTTTTCTCTGACTCGTGCCTGTCCATCATGCATTCCGAAAATAGAACAGAGACAGAGAAAGTTGGGACGATGGGTGCTGAAACACTGTTTCTAATGATGATCTTGGTTCTGTTTAGAAATGTATTATGTACGCGCACCAGTACAAGGTCACGGAGCGAGGGGTAACCGTGCTGTGATAGGGATAGTTAAGGACTCATTAAATGTGGTTCTTGTTTCCACTAGAGGAAGTGTGACGTAGCAGTAAATCCAGGAAATACTGGAATCCTATTTTCTGCCATTCCTCCTCCAGTGCTTCAAAACTATATTTTCTAACAAAATACACGTCCCCATATTGCTGGAGCTAAGAATATACTACTTTTATACCGTTCAAGTCAGCTTCCTTCCTTGGTGACCTAGACCTTCTGCCCATTGAATATGCGTGTGATAAACACAAAAACTATTGACAATCCTGGTATTTTCCTATGTTTTTCATATGTCTTTATGAAGCTACGTTTATCTTTAGAGATGAAACTGATAAACGCTGGCGAGACAAGATGTCTGCAATGTTCCTCTTGACATTGACCCGAGAAGTGACTTTTCTAACGATGATAAAGAATATATAGTTCATCGAAAAGTAGTAGAGCGACGCTCACTTTTTATCAGTTATTCGATTCCTTCGCTTCCAAGAATTGATCCCCGGGGCGGTGAACGAATGCGCAAGCGTACCATTCTCATACTTTTTAGTTCTTGTTGTTTACAGTGAATAGCCAAGCGCTTATACTGGATGTCCATTTTTAATCTCCATATCCAAATATTATGAAAACTGCGCATTTTAGAAAAAAGTCTGGAACAAAACTGGTTGTATTTTGAGGAAGTTAACCGTGGTGACCTTGACAATGACACTGGTCACGACATTGAAGGACGTTCCAAGGTCAAGTGAATATTTTTAAATTAAACTCAATTTTCGTATTACAATTGTGGAGAGCCGCAAATTTTACGTCCGAATGTGAGTACTACCATGCTCTTACATTTTTACAACCTAAATGGAAAAATCAAGAATTTTCCGGTCAGAATATAACCTTGATCTGAAGGTCAAGGTCACTTCAATCTTAGCAATCAATGAAATGTCCTGCTAATTCCATTTCCGGTTGAAAAATGAGACGTTTTCAAAAAAACTTTGAAGGTCATGGTCATGGTCAAAGTCAAGGTTATGAAAAAAGTCAATGTCATGCTCAAGGTCACGTTTGAGTGAGTCCCACAACCTTCGCAACTGTAATGTCGAATGCTTTGCTGGAGAAAATTGTTGTTGATGTTTTGACTTGACCTTGAAATGTCCTTGAAGGCCATTGTCAAGATCATGATAAAGGTATCATTCGGACGTGAAATTTTCTCTTCTTTTCAATTCCGATGTGAAAAGGGGGAGGCTCCATTTGAAAATATTCAGTTGAACTTAAAATGTCGCTGAGGGTCGTGGTCAAGGTCATTATCAGGGTTACCATTATTTTGTGCCATTGAAACCATACAACCCCTGTCTGATACTTGTTTTATAGAATGCGCAGTTTTTAAAATGTTTGGGTGGGTCGGTTAGAATGGGACACCCTGTATAGCGCACACGATATGAAAGGGCACAGGCCAGTGTTTACGCTCAGAACAATATGAATTAAAGGTTATTTGTGGTTATATAAGTACTTTGTTATGCATTGTGCAATCATGGACATAGTTGCATATGTGGGTACTACGCAGAAAGCTTAGGTTTGCACAATTTCCATCTAGGAGACTTCAATCTTGTCAGTACTGGACCTATCTTCCTCATATAGCCCAACAAATTTTTACGAAGGAACGCAATATGCCTTTTCAGGTTAATTCGAATGACAGTGGTTATATTTCTGGGCAGAAAGAACTTTGAAAGTTCATATAAGTATGAATCATAGACGTTTCCACCTTAGAAATCAGATAAAGCCGTGAATTATAATTATGATATCGAAAAATTTACGTATATAATTCGGAGCAGAAAAAGATATTGACTGCAAATTCTACATGTGAACGTAGCACATCATAAAAATGTATACCCAGATCGTCCATTGGCCTAGAAACTGTAACACCCATACTTAAAAATATTTTCTGCGTCGATGAAAAAAAATACAAATCTTTTTACGAGTCTGTTGGAGAATTTTTGCCAGAATGGTCATACTAGGGGGACTTGGACACTTATGATGGAAAGCCTTAGCAAACATGCACCCAAACTAGCGAAAGCCATTGCAAGTTGGCGTATTGATCAGTAAAGGCGGATGTATCCCGAAGCCTTAGTGGAAACTTTGACGTTTGCAGTAGAACTTACCTGAAGTTGCTGCCTCCCAAGTCCAAGGCCAGGAATTTGCCTGTCTCCGTTCCATTGGGAAGATCCTGTACGAACGTTGGAAAGCATTTCACAATAGCTGAAGGGTTGGTCGCTTTTCCTAATCCTCGCTTAACATTCTCTAAAAATGCGTCCATATACTGTTTGATATGATCGTCATTGAGCACTAGTTCTTGGCATCCTGCAACCACTACTGGTGAAACTCCATCAGCCACTCCCGCTTTGCCACCTCCTGGCCCCCCTGGATTGCAACTTTTACTTTTGCATTTTGAAGCCATCACACGAGAATTTTGAATATACGTTAAAGTGAGTTATCTCCAATGATGGGAAGTTTGACAAACCGTGTTGTGACTCGAAAAGTCAAGGGCACTTTGGAATACCGTGTGATTGTGGCGTGGTGTGTATCAAAATAGTCACTGTATAAGCTAGAGGCAAGCCAGTGCAGTCAGGAGTCAGATAAGAATGCGGTTTCAGCAATTGTTCATAAAAAGCTGATATGATGGTACTCATTTTGTACGTTGATCTGATAATACGGGGAATAACCGATATAATAGACTAGTGAATGGTTCACATTACACTAAGGCCGGTATCGTCAGTCGTCCCTACAATTGTAGGGCGCGTTTATGGCCTCCTTGATTGTCATACTTCTTTCTCTCCTTCAAAAATTTCGAGATTACACTTGTCCCGTGTCAGCGTCAGCGCTCTCCTATTGTGGAGATATGTTTTCTTCTTAAATTTTAGGAAACTTCAGGCTGATAACACATGATATAACTCAAAAGCAAGCACAATTTGATGCAAATAGATGTTTGTGACATAACCTCAAAATAGAGTTCTGACACGGAGAAGTAGAAAACTATGACAATCAAGGAGGCCATAAAGGCAACCTACAATTGTAGGGACGACTGACGATACGGGCCTAAATATTCCCTTAGTAATAATATTATTAAATAGGATGGGTGCAGTACGACCATAAATTCAATGCAAAACAGAAAATGGCGTCAAGTAAGTTGACACTATGACATCAGTTCGTAAAGGATTATGTTTGTCACAAGCTGGCCCTACTGAAAAAAAGGTTAGCTACGAACATGTATAACACAAAATTAAATAACCCTCCTCCTTTCCCTGAGACGAATTCCTGCAGGCACACATGACCATTGCGATGACCAGTTCCACATAGTTAAGGATATTAGCCTTCGTCAGGCACAGTGTATACAGCCCACAGCGGTACGGAAGCGCATGCCGAGTGTGACGTATAATGCTCGTCCATCGGGAACCATGTCCCACGCATTAACACGTGACTGTTGGAGATATTTAGTTTTAATGGTAAATGTATGAGGACTCTGCTATCATAAGTGAAATAGCCAACATGCTCCTTAAATAGCGCGCGCGCACCCGACCCGCTCGCCTTCCCCCTCCCCCCCCCCTCCCTATCTACCGGAACATGAATTCTGAGATCACCGACAGACCGAAAGACCGACACAGCGACAAAAATCAGTGACAAGATTTTTCATGATGTACATGTAGTATAACATCCAAAAACCACAATACTATTTTCAAAATTTTTTCCGATTACAATACCTGTGAGAAGAAAAAGATAACTTCGGATCAACTTCACCTGGACTAGGAATTTAGTGATTGAATACAAAGTTTAAGTCGGATTACCATCAGAGATTACAGCATTTTTTATTCTCAGTAACAAGTACTACCTACTAATCGACAAGGTTAAGCAATCAGTGAGTCATATTTTTGAAACGCCACTATTTACAACAACGTTCCGTTAATTGAATGGAATTGCAAACCTACAAAATCATATCTGGATCGCAGAGCGACGTCATTGTATTCTCAGAAACTGACAACAATCGAGGTATGCAATTAACTGTATGAATGCTGGTTATAATTGTATGTGTGTGGAGAATGTTCGCAAAAAGTTATGGTTAATCAAAACTGAAGTAATTAGATGCACATCATTGACTATATGTAGAATTTGTGCTACTGTTAGTCTAATTTGTCTGTTTTATTTTCGATAAATTATTACCGACACCTCCACCTATGATGAGGTAATTAATATTGGCAATAACTGTGGTTAGAATATTTGTGGATCCATCGAAGGCGCAACTGCTCTGTTTTTGTTAAGTCAAGTAGCTAGAGATGCCCAATAGAGGGAGTACCCCACCCTAACGCGGAAAAGGTGATTGCAAAGTTCGCCTCTATTTATTAGTGGTATTTCCTACAACTTGAATTATTCGCGTATTTTTCGGTTTGTAGAAAATCTTACTTCAAATTTACTACATTTTTCAAAATTCACAGGAAGTACATAGCGGCTGCTCCGCCTAGATCGGTTTTTTCACTGGGCTGTTGATATTAGCCAGAACAGAGTAATGGCCGGGATAGACGTTCCGTCATGCACATCAACTTGCTTGCGCAAACTTAAATTTGTTGATCAATTTAAACGTCCAGTTGGCTGACGATCTATTATTGTGTGCGGCTGATATTGCTATTATAGCAAAAAAGAAAAAGGTGAATAAGAGAAAACGTTCCAAGTGGTCGAAAGAATGGTTACTTAAGCGACAGGAATTATCACACCTAAATTCACTAAATGAGCTTCGATTAGAACCTGAGGATTGGTTCAATTATTTACGTATGAACGAAGAAACTTATATGGAATTGCTCCAGATAGTAACGCCTCAAATCAAAAGGATGGAGATACAGTTATGAGAAAAGCAATATCACCACATGAGAGGCTCAGCGCAACTCTACGCTTTTTAGCAACAGGAAGAAGCTATGCTGACTTGAAATTTTCATGTGCAATATCTCGTCAAGCACTTGGTGAAATTATACCGGATACATGCAGAGCTATTAACGCAGGATTAAAAAATCACTATTTGAAGGTAAAGTAAAGTATTTTATTAAAAACAGTACAACGTATACCTAATTATATTTAATTTATTTATTATCTTCAACGTTGTATCTTGAATAATATTCTCCAAGGGATTGTAAGAGGTCATTGGTTGCTTCCCCTAGCGATCTTGCAATTTCAGTTCCAATGGACGATCTAAACCTTCCATGATCATACTGAAAAGTGTCTACTCCACAAATTATTGGATTTAATCCCCCCAAGCGTTGTAAGGGTTTCGTAGGTCCTTCTGGTGTCGATCTTAAAAGTTCAGTATTACTGGGCCGACTAACCTCCTGATTATACTGAAAAGTGTGTATATCAGGAGTTGTTGGTGTTCTATCTGTTTCGACTGTTTCGATCTGGGTTACGATTTTTGATGTCTGGTTTAATTTTCCCATTTGTGCTTGGAAAATTGCTTCATTAATCACCTTTTTGCAATATATGGCCATCTCAGAAGGCAGTTCCTGAAATTCTTCGCCTACATGTTGACCGAAAGATGCAAATTCTTTTGACTTTTTCTCTTGACACTAATTCTGGAATTTGATGTTGATGTGGATGGGGTGGCCGATAGAGGACGTAGTGATGTTTCGGATGAAGAATGGCAGTTTAAGTTGTCTTCATGTTCGTTGAATTGGCTGTCGTCCTAAAAGAAAAAATCAGATTATCAACTTTATATCAAATTCTTCATTTTTGTTAATGCAACTATACCTTATTTAAGGCTTTCAATAGACTCTTATATTTTTTGATACTTTAAATAATAGCTATTTAGGCCTGTGTTGAAGTATATTTGCTTATTATGTTTAAAAAAATTATTTACAAAACGTATGTATTTTAATTCATCATTCTTGTTTCTTCCAGTTTCCAAGCAGCGAAGAAGAATAGTGAAGAATTGGTAGGGAATTTGAAGGAAAATGGCAGTTTCCCAATTGTTTAGGTAGCATTGGCGGTAAACACATACAAATATCGCCACCGCAAGATGCTGGTTCTTTTTACTGGAATTATAAGGGATACATTGCCTATTTTTAATGGCCATTGCTAATGCGAATTTCCATTGAATTGTCATATGGGCACAAATGGTCGCGTTTCGGATGGAGGTGTAATTGAAAACACTAAATTTTATGAAAAACTTGTTAAAGAAGAATTGCGATTACCTACTCCTTCCCCTACAAAAAATAGTTCCACTATGCTTCCTTGAGTTTTTATCGGAGATGAAGCATTTTCACTGCGTAAAATTTACTGAAACCATTTGGCTCGCGAGATTTGACAAGAGAAAGAAAAATTTTCAACTATCGTCTGTCTAGGGCATGCAGAATCATCGAGAATATTTTTGGTATAATGGCTGCCCGATTTAGAATCCTTCATACAGAAACTAATTTAAAATTGGACAGTATAGATTTAGTGGTGTTGACGTGCGTTGTTTTACATAACTATTTGCGAAAAAAAATGCTCTGATTCGTATACTCTCCCCGAGTGCTTAGACGAAGAAGATTGGACACAATCAGAAGTTCATACAGGGCTGCGAGTTGAGCCTGGTAATTTAAGCGGACTACAACGTGGACACAATCGAAATACTGCACAAGAAGCTAATGAAGTTAGAGAGTTATGATTCATTAGATCTCGTATAATAAAATAACACTAGTAAAGCATTATAACGTTGTTGCTTTCCATTTAAAATGAATAAATTTATACTTACATCTACTACTGGACTTTCATTTATAGTATCCGTCCCATCCTGTCGCGGTGTCTCCTGGTCAGTCAAAAACATCAATAAATTAAAATACCAGAGATTTGGCCTATACAAGTTTTCTGCGCCCATACCCGACTGCACACTTCTAGTTTTCTTTAACTCTTTGCGGAAAGAAGTACGCAATGAATTGATTTTTTTCATTACGGCATCTTTATTGGCTGCGGGATCTACCTCTTTTAATTTTTCTATGCACCAGGATAATCTCTAGCCCAAGAAGACGGAATTAATAAGTCGCAAGAACCGCCACACATTGCAACTACCGCTAGACAAGTCTGTACTCGCAAGAAAAAATCTGGCATGTTTGATTTCATTCAAGCCAAACAATTGTCTGTACAAATTCAATAAGTCTACCGACTTATCAGCACTAACGCCGCGATAAATCGTGCATTTTGTTTACGCAAGCAAGTTGATGTGCATGACGGAACGTCTATCCCGGCCATAATATTACTATTCGGGTCAGATACCTGATATGGGCGAGATCTCATATTTTTGTGAGCATACGGTAAATGTAGCAACCGTATGATCTGACCTGCTCGTGTGGCTTTGTAGAGCATTCTATGGAGTCACCTATAAGCGTCGAAGCGTGGTGCTAAGGCCGTAAAAGTTCTTAGTAACTCTTCGGCTCTAATCCTTGTGGTGTGCTGCAAGACTTTATGTCTCTTATTTGAAGGGCTTAGTCGACAGGAACGTCTGTCTTTATAACATATCCCAGGGATCTCTCTATAGTGATATGGTGTACCCAGTCATAGATAGAACATCCTGTATACTATGTTAGTTAGTCAATGGTGGCTACACGTTACTTGCGTAAAAGTAGGTCTCACGACTGCGTTTTTGTACCTGACTTTGTCAATAATTTCTTTATAAATTCTATTCTAAATAGCACTATAGATGGATAACTATTAGTTTATTATGAAAATCACAAGAATCGTTATGTTGATGAGGATTTTAACTTCACTTTATTCTATCAGCAAATCATATTTGATGAGTTTATGAAAATGGACTGAGCCTAAGGATATTGGAAATGTTCATACCATATTGTCTTAATGCTATTGCGCGTATCAATAAGTTTTGTTTAGATACTGGCACTTTTCCAGAATTGTGGAAATTAGCAACTGTAATACCTCTGATAATCCACTGGAACTTAGTGATTATAGACCTATCAGTCTACTGCCTATATTGTCTGAGTTATTAGAAAGAATTGTATTTGGGCATATGTCTATTTATATAAAAAATATAACTTGTACCTTCCACACAATTAGGCTTCAAACCTTTTCATAGTACTGTGACAGCACTGATTGATGTCAGTGACGACTACTTACGAGCCATAGACGATGGTAACGTTACAACAGGCGTGATGCTAAAGCTTTTGACTGCATAGATCATAGATTTCTTTTGGCAAAACTGTGTTTTTTGGATTTTCTTCATCATCTCTTGCCTGGTTTTCTAGGTATCTATCTGGTAGATGATAAATGGTGAAACTTGGAGTGAAAATATCTTCGAAATGAAATATTATGCAAAGTGTTCCGCAGGGTTCGATCCTGGGACCAATTGTATTGAACCTTTATGTATCTGATTTCAATGAGTCTATTTCTTATTGTAAAGTTTACTCTTACGCAGATGACACTCAGATCTACCTTTCATATTTATAACCCTGATGATTTTTTACCGGCCAATATCAAACTGTCAAGAGCAGTCTGAATCGATAGGCTGCAAATCAATATTTCTCTAGCCATGGATTACATAATATAAACCCAAAAAAATTGACCGTCGTTTCCTTCAAATCCAATCAAAGCTATTTTAGCAGTAAATCTCTTAATGTATGAGCCTCTCAATCATAAACTGCAGATAAGAAATTTTGGTGTGCATTTTGACCCAGCGTTACCATTCCATGACCATGCCACAAAAATCGTACAAAACTCATATAGCGCTTTGAAAAACATGTATAGTTTTCGACACGTACTTTCCGAATTTGTCAAGTTATGTCAACGAATTAGTTAATTCTAAGCAAAGTAGAATATGCTGATGCTATGTTTGGTCCTTGCCTGATACAAAATGAATTATACAGGTTGCAAACGATCCAAAATTCATGTGTCCGTTATGCAGCAGGTGTTTCCCGACGGGAAAGTGTATCATCATATTTGAAGCGTATCCCATAACCGACAGGACCATGAATCCATGAGCTTTTATAGCAATATTGTAAGTTAACCTTTGTAAATATTCATATCTATAGCAATAGCGGATAATTCTACTTCAAATTCTAATCCTAATTCCGATACAGAAATGGCTAAATTATCATTAGAAGCCGTAACAGATATACTCATTAAGTTCGATGGTAGCAAATCAAAACTATAAGAATTTATTGATAATTGTGACGAAGCGTAATCTATCGTTCAAAATAAAGACAAATCAAATTTACTCACTATTATTAAAGCCAAGCTGACATGTGTATAACGCTAGGGCTATAGTAAGGCAATTGATAATTGGAACGAATTAAAACAATTTCTATTAGACGCATATTCAGAAAGAAGAACCAGCAGCCCCTGGCAGCTAGAATTAGATTCTTGTAGAGAAAATTCAAAATTGCTATTTGAAATTAACAAATACTCTCAGTACTAATTTATCTACAGAAGGTCATACAGCATGTGTGAACCAACTCAAACAACAAGCTTTAAATGTTTTTCCCGCTTACAAAATGACCTAAAGTCCTTGTAAAAAGTCAACGGGCTGGATCCTTCGAACAAGCAGTCTCGATTTCGCAGTGAGGAACAAGAAATATTGTCAAGTTCAAGTGTTATGTTACTGTCGTCTTTAACATGCAACTTTTTGCAAATATTTAAAGTTACAGAATTACTAATTTTTTGACATCTACCATCAACTTCGACACTTGGAATGATAGCTTTGTATTTTGCTTCAAAATGTATTTTATTGGATACTAATGTAGTGAAACTAGTATATAATTTACAATTTTTATTAATTGTTAGTATGCCAGTATTGTTCATGATTAAATATTCAGAGTCTAAGTGTGTACAAATAATGTTAACATCAATTTGTTTAGATATTAGGTATATCCATATATTTGTATATTCCATTTTATGGAAAATTTCGAAAGTATTGTTAATTGAACGAGTATCACATTCGGAAGGAGTGGTATCACTAGCGTTTAATAATTTTGTTTCACAAACTGGTCTAGTGTGGTTATTATAAAAAGGTTCAGTTGTTGGACACATTAACGTTTTATCTGCTGGATTGCAATTCTGATATGATTTTAAAACTGAAGAAGTGCTTTTATCCTCGGAGAGTTGTAGATAGTTTACAGAAGGTAGGATAAATATCATAATGTCCGAATTTATTATAAATGGAAAGGGTACTAAATGGAAAAGCTGAAAAGAAGCAGTATTGATTAAAGGATTAGACATTACATATAAAATTGGATTATTATTGAAGAAATGTTTTATGCTCACGTGTCCAATAAGATTAGAGGCAAATTTATCTTCGAGAGGAAACCTATGAGCTCGTGCTGGAAATGTGAGGTACGGTTTTTCTTGATTCGTCGATTAATTTTGAAGTGCCGTCGTCACAAACGGGTGCAATATGTTTTTTTTTTCAAAAACGTACTGAATTGATAATACTTCAATATTTATATAAAAGTTTGTTAAGCATAAGTTAATAACCGACAATTGTCCTTCTAATGTTTGTTTTAGC